ACAGAATTTCAAATTGATAATAAAAGCTAGTCTTTAGCTTTGGTCAGAAGAGTGTTATTCAGCAATCTTAAGAAATGGCATTTTTGTGAAAATCTTGGCAGGAGTGGTAGGTGACTTCAGATTACAACATTCTGAGGAATGAAAAGTAATTGAGAAAAGGGACTTATCATATATACAAACACAGGTGTCTGTCTCCTAAATGTACCGAACTACATTACAGAATGTACTGAGGTGAATTGAAATCTTGAGAAGATACACATTTCACTTTTTTTTTTTTTTTTTTTTTTTGGTGGCACCGGGGATCGAACTCTGGACCTTGTGCTTGTGAAGCAGGTGGCGGAACCACTGAGCTAAATCCCTGGCCCAACATTTCATTTTTTAAGAGTTACATATTTAAAAGTGTATTAAAATAACCAGTAAATCCAAGCTATTATTTTATGAATATTATGTGGTCTTTCTTAAGAACAAATACATTTTAGTAAAAATAAAGTCAACAGATTTAAGGATCTATATTATTATTATTATAATACAGATTGCTATGTAGAGAGGGCAAAAATTGTCATGTCCAAAGAGTTGATGCTTGGGAGATACTGTTTGGACTATTCTTTTAAGAAGCTTGGTGGTAAAGCAAAGAAGAGAGTTGAATAGGGTTGAGAGAAAGTTGTTTAGAATGGCAAAGATTTGCATATCTTTTAAAAAATCTACTTTTTTTGTTTTTTTTGAGACAGGATCCCAGGATGTGGTCCAGACTGCCAACTCTGTCAATTCTGCTTAGTCTCCTGAGTGCTTAGTTTACAGATGTGTCTCACCACCACCAACCCAGAGCATCATGAATGGCTGAAAATCCAGTTGTTAACAAAGGGTAGCTGAAAATCTCAGTAAACAAGGGACTGATGGAATAAATTCCAGAGGAGGTGGGAGGGGTGGGAGGTAACCACAAAAGGCTATGATTAGCCATACAAAAGTGGAACATCACTCCTTTCAGGATGGGAGGGAGGAACATAAGAATAAATTTGAGGGGCTGGGGATTTAGCTCAGTGGTTCTGGAACCTCCCCGAAAGCACAAGGACCGGAGTTCAATCCCTGGTCCAAAAAAAAAGCATAAATATGAGGTAAAAAACTCATTGAAGTAGAGAAAAGAACCAAGGGAATTCCCAATTAAAAATGTCTATTGTTTCAGTCATTTGTGGGAGGAGGGCATTTACTGGGTATAGAGGGAGGAAGCTTGAATATAGTGGTCAGGAAGCTTGAAGATGGTAAAGTTAACACCTGACTTCTGAGGACACCTTGTGGAGGATAAAGATAAAACACCTGAGCAATGATAATGGAGACCACGAAGCTTAGTGACTAACCAGAATGACTGAAGAGATTTTCTCCAGTGGGCTAAGACTAAGCATGCTAAAAAGTGACTGGACACTGAGCCCAGTTGGAAGGGACAACAGGGTGCTCCTTTCAGGAGCTACTGAGAAGAAAGTTCCAGTAACTGTTCATGGTGATATAAACTGTGTAGAAAGAAAGGAAGCTGAAAGTTAGTGGAAATCTTACTCAAAGAAAGAAACATAAGAGTTTCTGATCTGAGACAGTGGAGTCTCAGGGGAAGATGAGGCCCAGGTGGCTGAAAAAAAGGGGATGCTGAATTCCCTGAAACTCAGAAGCCCAGGCCTTGAGAAGCTGAGGCAGGATCAAAGGTCTTCATTAGAAGCCTGTCAGGATGTTGGCTACACTTCTAATGGAAATACTGAGAACTACAAGCCACAGTCTTTTGGAATGGGAGGCAAGTGACCAAGAGGTTAGTGGTAGTGGTGATGCAAAAGAGGCAGAGAGAACAGTAAAGAATCAAGCATTTTCCCATAAGGTAGAGGTGAAACAATGATCTAGAAAAGACGGTATCATGCTGAGTAGTATGTGAGGCAGGACAGAAAGAACAACCTCTAATAGAGGTAGTGCTGGGTAAGGGATAGGAAGGACTCTTTGTTCTGTGGTTGCCAAGGGATAAAGAATGTTAATAAGCCTGACTCCACCATTTTACATTGTATATTTTATAGAATCTGTGTACCCTATGCATATATAGAATTATAATTTGTCAATATCCAATAAAATGTTTAAATGAACACTGTCACACAACACAGGAAAAAACATAGTTCTAGAAAGCCAAAGGCAAAGAGTTGGGAGGGAAGGAAACAAAGAAACGAAGAGGAAGACTGAAGAAAAATCACATGGACTATCACAGTGCCAAAGGACTGGGAAGGGAGGAAGAGAGGAACAGTCTTCCCAAGTAGCACCACTCATCACCACCAAACCACAGAATGCACATTCTGTGCTCTACTAGGACCATACTTTTTAGGAAAACAGGGTTCCCAGGCAAAGGAGGTATCCATAGAAGACCTGTCTTAAATAAAAACTCAGCCTTTTATTTTTGGAAAATCCCAAGATTCTTCTAGATAACAAAAGCCTTAAACCCTGCTTTCTTGTTTACAGAAAAATACTATTCTCCTCTCCTACTCAGATCCAGCCCCCGCCCCCCGTAAGGCTGAAGGTCCAAGGCTTGGGATCACAAGCGAAAGAAAACAAACAGCCTTAGGATGAAATCTAGATTTTTCTCCATGCTTGTAATTTCCATGTGAACAGCAGATGGCAGCAAAGAACTAAAAAAGGGAGCCAAACCTTTAAAAGAACTCCAGGTTGGGCCGGGATTTAGCTCAGGGGTGCTGCTGTCTGCCTCACCAGCCCAGGGTCCTGAGTTCCATCCCTGGTGCCTAAATAAACAAATAAATAAATAAAAGACCCCTAGGCTGACCAGACAGAAGTGGTGGGGCTCACAAAGTTCTACAGGGTGGTAACTTAGAGTCAAAGGTCAGCTTGGTGACATCACTGTACTTGTTCTACTGAGCTGGGGCCATCAACATGATATCAGCAGTGAAAGAGTATATCCTATTGCTCATTATAGCCCTACTAATTCTCAGCTCACCAGTTAGGATGTGGACTAGCAGTCAGATCTTTATAAGAAGGTGCAACTGTCTTCCCAGAAATGACAAAGAAGGGAAGGTGAACTAGGCTTTGGGAATGACATTCTACTTCAATACTATCATCTGTAGCACTTATCACATTGTATTATAATTGTGGGTCTTCCCCAATAGACAGGGACTCCTTGTGTAAAGATTGTGTCTTTCTGGTTCATCTCTGATTCCCTAATGCATGGCACATAGGTGTTCAACAAATGCATATTTCATGAGTGGCTCTATCAGGGCAGCAGGCCGGGAAGACACCTAGTCTGCTATGATTGGGAGACATATCAGGCCTTCCGGACAGTGTGGCACACGGGAAAGAGCACTTGTCTGGGAAGAAATTTGGGCAGGGCTTTGAATCCTAGCTCTATTACTTATGGCTGTGCAGTATGTAGGTAAGGTTTCTGAACCTTGATTTTCTCCACTATAGGAGAAATCTTCAACAGGATGGGAAAATACATAAAACATGCTTAGCACATATATCTTGCACAAAGTGAACACTCAATAAAAAAGAGTCACTGATATTTACTGCAGTTACTTCTATTGCTACATCCCCTTCTCAGGACCAGGTGCCAGGGAAGGGAAAAGAATGACTAAGAGTAGGAAATAAATTGGTTAAGACTCAGAGTCTTCCTTGGCTCGGTTCCCTCAAACTGCACAGCAAGAAATCCAACAAAGGCTGCAAAAGAACCAACCTAGTGTACAGGGCGTGCCTTCCCATATTATTCCTTTGGAGGCAAGAAGGATGGCTACTTGGGATTTCCCATATAAGGACAAGTCTAGTCCAGCTACCTGACAGCTTTTTACAGTGACTTCAGAGAACAGATTGAAATTACAGAGATGCAGATTTGTCCATAATTCCCATCACACAATTTAGAAGCCAGGAACAATGGGTGACAAGTCTGGTACCCTAGTTCTGTTCAGAGATGCTGCTGGGCTGACAAAGGGCTCATGGTTCTTGGTATTAGAACTTCCGGTTTCACATAAGGCTCAGTAAGAAAATGAGCACTTTTAAAGGAGATTATAGGAAGTGTTCTTTGAGAGCACTGGATTCCCAGTGGTCACAGGGTAAAACCAGCCTAGCCGGGCGTGGTGGCACACGCCTGTAATCCCAGCACTTGGGAGGCTGAGGCAGGAGGATCGCTGTGAGTTCGAGACCAGCCTGGGCTACATAGTGAGTTCCAGGTCAGTCTCAACTACATAGTGAGACCCTG